GTAAGTTAGATCAATAAGTCCGTATCCTGATGATGAAAAAGCATTTATTTTATGTAAGCATTTATTCTTCATTCAACTTTTGTTCCCTGCCAAATGTCCTTATCTCAATGCGTCTCCATCTTTCACAAAGATTGACCAGTGCATAGCGATATTTAGTTACCCCCCCCCCACGAGGGTTACATGTGGCACAAGGCCGGTTTAACGTGGGATCTGCGAGCCCGTAGGCTCGGCCAAAAATAATCCCTCTTTGAACCCGTATAAACGGTTTCAGGGGCAGTTAACCTTCCCCGAACAAGACTCTGCCCTTCGGCGGAGCCTCGTTCGGGTTCTTCTCCGCCCGAAGGCAGAAAGTTCGACTGTTTAGCTGGAACAGGTCAACTGTAGACAGCTCATAGTGCATAGCTAGCATTTATGGTCAAATCTCACCTTTTATGTGTCAAGCTACGGACATATTGATCCCACCTCGTATAGGCAATTGGGGATAAGTATCTATTTCCTTGACTCTTTTGTATGAAACCGTTTTTTTCTTTTTTCTATGAGTGATGTAAACATGGCAGCCAAATGTAAGCGATTAAGAAATGTATTATGAAAAAACATTAAGAAATTTCCATAAAAATAAACTGCCAAGTTTAACTTTCTTGCCCACAAAAACAGTGTGCCAAAACGATGAGGTTTCCCTTGGCACGGCTATTATATTGTACTATTCTTACTCCCTCTGCAATGTTTATTTCCAAGATTATAAAAATATGTGAATCAAGTACAAGGTAATATTTATTATTTATTTTTACAAAGGTTTATTATTTACCATTTTATAATGAAATAAATGTGAAAAGAAATCTTTCTATTCAAAAATGTAAAAAAGTTATCAAAATATGTAGACCATCTACAATGCAATATTTATTGTTCACCATTTTATAAATAACTACGAAAACAAGGTTTTTATTCATAATTTTATAAAAATATCAATGAATATCTGCATGAAAGAAATGCAAATGTATTTTTGAACATATATATATTTAATTACTCGTCGTTACCTGTTTATTTAAATTTTTATGTTTGACAGACATTTATATAAATTTATAAATAAAAACACTATTTTTATATTTACATCTTTATAAATTGATAAATGATAAACATTGCATTGTATTAGTGGGTTCGCATTGTACAGTGTTGTAAATATAATATTATTCTTGTAAATAAACTATCTAATAAACAAAAAGTGTTTAATATTTTTGTTGTAAATTCTCAAAGGAAAAAGGAAATATATAAATTCATTTTCATATGTTTTGGTTAATAAAGCCTAAATAATATGAAAGTGAAATTCTAATCATCATTTTTATAACAAACATTGCCGAGGGAGTAAAGGTAGTTAAAATAAAAGCGGTGTCAAAGGAAAAGCCGTCCTTTGGACACCCCATTTTTTAGTGGGCACGAAAGATAAAGAACGCTAAATAAAGTTACCAAAAACGTGACGAAAGTATATATCAACTGACGGTCCACTTACCTAATGAGCTTATGTAGATGGATAGCCGAACAGAGTGGGGGCGTTAGCTAATGGAGAAACCTGCTAAAATCCACACGAGATAGAAAGTTACGGAGAGGCATGATCGCTTACGTTGTTAAGGGATGCGGGACATAGAAGAAAAAGTGTACGGTTTTCTAAATAAAACGCCTATTTCCGGTTTAAAAACTCAGCTGATGTCAGCACTGACTTGGCCAAAACCAACTTCAGCTTCAGGCCACACCAATGACTACAAGCGAGAAAGGCAACCATTTGTAATGGTTTTAAAGACAACCAATTTGGCTTGGTTACTTGATCAACAATATACATACATTTTTTTTAGAATTAATTAACGCCAATACATGTGTTTATTTTTGTAAAGTTATAAAACAAATAATTATCATGCCCTATTTAAGGTCCACTGGTGAGGACACTGAGATTCTAATTTGAAAAAACTATTTAAAATCTCAAACAGAATAACATTCTTCTCATCTTTATATTTTTGACTAATATCTATTTCCAAATTGTACCAATTTTTCTAGACAAACTTATAGATGCTGATATTTTTTCATCGGTCAGATCTCAGAACAAATCCCAGAATATATATATATATATAATTCAAGGGAAAACTTTATATTTTCGGTCTTATGAGACTTACTTGTCGAAATAAATCATGATTTATAACCGTATTTTCGAAATGTGTTTAGCTTTTCCTTGATGTATATCATATTGCTCTGTATTCTATACATTGAGCTCTCTATATATCTATTTTTTTTATTAAAATGAACCACTTGGATTATTCTTTCCATTTACGAATTTGATATTATATATATATATATATATATATATATATATATATATATATAGTCGACTCTCCCGTAGAATTCGACGTATGAGGGTCAAACAGATCAGTTTCAATATATATATATATATATATATATATATATATATATATATATATATATATATATATATGTATTTAGGCATCAAGAATTTTTCGAACATGTTTGGTAAAATAATATCAACAAATTCTGTCTATTCAATTCTTTAAATTAACTTAAATTTCCGAAATTTTATTTTTTGATTTTTTTTTTTTTTGCGAGTTTTCGGATTTTGTTACATCCATTTTCAAGGATTTCGTTTTTACTTGTGTGAGTTTATGTCACTGTTTTTGGTCGCCGGAATTAACCGAAAACGGTTACACACACACACACACACACGCGCGCGTGCGCCTAGCGCGCGCAATCGAAATTCTTAAAAAAAGGAATGGTGCAATAGCTGAAAGTTCTCGGAAAAAACAAAACATAAAAATGAACTTTGGTAAATTTCTGTTTATATAAATCAACTACTTCGGAAAATTGAAAAATTAATGAAAATTGGATAGACAGAACTTGTCTATATTATTCAACCAAACATGTTTGAAAAAATTATATATATATACATATGTTTTGTTTATATTCATATATATGATTTATTTATACATATAAAAATTATAGATGGCTAATTTTAAGCTAGTTTAGATATATACCTTCGCTAAAACAAACATCTAGTAAAATCAAAAACTAACCTCTGCCTTCCGATAAAGATTTTAATTACAAGGATTTGCCGAATTAGTAAAAGATCAAAGTTATTTCACACTTTCGATAATAAGTTTTATAAACAGATATTTTTTTCGATATATTATATCATGCCTTTACTTATAATTTTATAGAAATGGATCCTTTCCAATACATATACAAACGCACATATATACATATACAAAAGAAGTAAAAATTTTGATGGAAAAAGGAAAAATACATTTAAATTGACTTTGTTTAAGTTTTGGGTACGTAAATAAAGTTACAAGATATCGTCTTCGAAAGGACGTTGCAAAAGATGTGAATCAAGTAAGTTAAGTCGCTCAAATTGAGCTTTACGTTATCATTGTTTCCCTGGACTAATTACTGTTGAAACAAGTGAATACAGATTCAATTACTATCAGTAGGCATATATTTCGCTAGTAAGGTCAAGATTTCTAGGTCGGTTGCCAATAATTTTACGGTCTAAAATAATAATAATAATAATATATGCGTGTGTGTGTTTGTGTGTGTGTTTGTATGAGCGCCTAGATTGTTAAGCTATGGATAAATTATGATATATTATTAACACTGTTTTATTTATAGTCTGTGTATATATATATATATATATATATATATATATATATATATATATATATATATATATATATATATATATATATATATATATATATACATATATATATATAGATATAGATAGTGTTGATTTCTGGTTTTAAACTGTTGTTAACGCGGTGTAGCTGGATGTCTAGGAAAGGTGAGGCTATGTATTTTTCTACTTCGTATATGAAATCTATTGTATATTCGACTTTGTTTAGTTTATCTACTAGGTCATGTAAATCAGTTTATTAAAAACATCATCAATATATCCGAAGTATCCTGATTGTTTGGGTAATATATATATATATATATATGGATATATATATATATATATATATATATATATATTTTATATATATATATATATATATATCCATATATATATGTGTGTGTGTGTATATATGAATTGGGATCAAATACGGATCAAATATGGATCGGAATCCGACAGAACGAAAGATAAGAACAAATAGTAAACGTTTAGAAATCTAACTTGTTTCATTTTTATTAACGTGTCACCAGAGACTTAGATATGGAAAAAAATTCTTATATTTTTATTCTTTTCCATATCTCATCCTCTGATGAAGCTATAATAAAAATGAAACATGTTAGATTTATAGATGCTTCCTATTTGTTCATTATCCTATCAGATGAGACAGAGAGAATTACAAATATCAGTATTGATTTTAGTCTGTGCTATTTATTTTTTTCGATACGAGCAAGTTTATATACCAGGGATAATGTATGAAGGTAAATATTCTCAATACAATATGAATATAATGTCATTTTCCCGCTCTTTTTCATTACTGTTCAATATTATATTTTTTATTCAATAAAATAGGTATCAATAAAATGTCTGCCAATCTTATCCGAAGATTTCTTTTTTCTCTTTCAAGAGAGTCTGTGTGCTTTTCATTTTAATGTTCTTTCTTTTATATAGGCATTTGTTTTTTCGTTTAGAAAAGAACACCCGAAAAGAAAAGAAAAGAAAAAAAAGAAAAGAAAAGAAAAGAAAAGAAAGAAAAACTGAACGAGAAAGAACAAAAGACAAACAAAAAAGTTAATAATAATAATAATAATAACAGTTATATATATAAGGCCAGTTTTCTTTTTCTTTTGATGTTTTTCTTGATTGAACGTCACACAACAGTGTCACGTTAAATTTTACTTGATTCTCGACAATATCACGTGATTCTTGATCTCGTTTCAGATCTCATTTTGAGACGAAATATGTTATCTGGCAGGAAGCACTGATTAACATGAGTTTTTTTTTGTATCAATTTTATTTTACATTTGCACTTTGTTTTGTTTTTTCTTTCTTCACTTTAGATGGCAACCTTGTCTGGATATTTCTCCGTGTATTCATGGTAGTCACCTTGTGGAGGCAACATTAAGGGCATCTGTGACAAGCTGGAGACGCGGGCGTATTGGAAATTCTGATCTTGACCATAGAAAGTAGGGACAATGTTGAAGTTGGTAAGCACCTCTGAAGACAGTCTAAAAAACAACAGAGAATAATAAATAAATAATATATCTGATAACAAAAAAAAAAAAAACTAACAAAAATAATTCTTTTTTTTTCTTGTACTATTTTTCTTTACAAGTTACACCTTCCAAAACCAGGCATTGTTTTATTTATAAATGTATTCGTTACACCTTTTGATGGTAGGGCTATACACCAGGCTACAGTGAATTTCTATATCCGGTACAGGTTTACCGCCATATCACGTTGAAACACGTTAATTTAAGCAACGTTGAGCCTGGTTAGTATCTACATGTGCGACTGCTTGGGAATACCATGTGCTGTAAGCTTGGATGCGCGGGTGGTGTAAAGGATAACGGCTTGCGATTGGAAATCGGATAGCCGAGTTCCAATTCCAGTCGTTTAAAGATTCATATTGGTTTAAAGCACAGTTAAGTCTCACAATGATAGCTTGTACAGGTCATGTCAGCAACAAGGTAACAGTCATCATATCACGGATACACTGATGCCTATAAAGGGTCTTGGAGAGCTGAGAGTACCAATATATTTCTTCTCTCTTTCTTAGCATTTCATTGCATGTGGCGATTTTTACCAGACAAAAAGCGTGGCCACAATCTACTGCATACATCTGTTTCTAATTATCCAATTTTAATTGGCATCTTTTTGCATATTAAAGAAAAGGGCGATCGTCAAATAGAAGTGTTGTATTTCGTGCCTATTATTTATCAGAGAAACAAAAATTGATTAAAAAAAACCCTAATAAAATGACAAATACATCAAATTTTGATATGCACACTCTAATTCTGATATCCAAGCGCACATGGGAATTACCTCCATTTTGTCTGATAGGTGGCGTTGTATGGATTTATAAAATGCGGTAGGTACATGGACAATCGCTTCTTAATTTTCAACCAAGCCATGTGGTGCTTCTCTCTCTCCCTCTCTCTCTCTCTCTCTCTCTCTATATATATATATATATCTCAAACACACACATACCCACACACACGATATTTTTTAGCTATTTGTTTGTAAACAAGTACTTATTTCTCTTCTTTGATTATGCTATACTTTAAATAAATATATATTAAAAGTCATCCGCGTGCAGAATCCGATATATTTCTTTCGAAAGTCATCTCGTCACAATTTTTAATACGGTCCTCTCCACGCCTATACACTGTTTCTTCAAAGTAAACGATTTTTTTTTCTTTTTTATTTCATGGAAACTTTTACCTTTTTTTCTTGAGTCCAACTTTCAGTTTCTTGTCTTTGTAGGTCACGGTTTCTTCCACTTGGTACGGAGGGGGTTCACTCACTGAAATAGTGAAAAGAGTCGAGAAATTATTTTGACGATATAAATAATAAGTCATTTAAAAAAAAATAATGACGTTACATAAGTGCGTATGCATGCACGTGGGAATTTGTCTGTGTGCGCGTGCGCGTGTGCATGTGCCTGTGCTGTTTAAATGTTAGAATAAATAAAATTCAAATTTAAGTGTCACAGCTTTTCGCCAATGCAGAATTATATATATATTAACAGATATAAAGGCTTATATATATATATATATATATATATATATATATATATATATATATATATATATATATGAAGAAAAATTTGGAAAAAAAACAAAATCCTTAAAAATCATGGTCACGTTGTCGTCATATGCTAAACGGAAAGCTGATCATTTTAAAAATTTTCAGTTATCTGTTTTGGATAAGACTTGTTGTTTATGTTCATCGTCTTTGTCAAATTGAACTGAATTGTATTTTAATGAATATTGTCTTGAAAAAGGTTTATTAAACCGAAACGTCAGACGTCGACATTTCATTCATTTTAAACAACATAATTGCATTTAAGGATTTTTTTGTTTGTTTTTTCCAAATTTTTCTTCATTCTGTCGGATCTATATCCATTTACATTTGCTTACATATATATATATATATATATATATATATATATATATATATATATATATAGAGAGAGAGAGAGAGAGAGAAGAGAGATGAAATGAGTGACACACAGAGAAATACACATATATATAAACAGTCAGATAATATTAAAGAAGTCATACAGTACACACACACATATATATAGATATGAACAGACTGATATATATATATATATATATATATATATATATATATATATATATATATATATATATAGATAGATAGATAGAGAGAGAGACAGAGAGAGAGTGAGAAATAAAGGAAGATATATATATATATATATATATATATATATATATATATATATATATATATATAGATAGATAGATAGATAGATAGATAGAAAGAAAGAAAGAAAGAAAGAAAGAAAGAAAGAAAGAAAGAAAGTCAAATTTTATTCGGCCACTATGCAAATTCTGTTTCTCCGCCTCGAAAATAGATGCTTATGGGGGGGGGGGAGTTTAGCGATGAAGACTTGTGGAATAAAACCCAGAGAAATTCTCACTTTTACAGTTAACCTTTATTTTTATAGTTTGCATTCATAACTACAAGGTACTTTTTTTTACTCTTCCTACTGACAAAAAATACTATATGATGGAAGAGTTTCTACTAAATGTCCCCTCCCCTAAACATTAGACCGCAACCAGCTGCAGGCACAGAACCCCAACTCCCCGTAAAGCCAGCACAATTTTTTTTCTGTTAAAGACATCATCCTTTTCATTGATCATGTTAGAATATAGCTGCTTTTTTTCGGACGAGTCGCATGGCTTCTCTGGTAAAGACGTTAAAATCTTCCAGTTTTTCCTAAATGGCATTCGGATTAACCTGAGTTCAGTTCTCACCTGCGTCTTATTCATTGGTGCTTAAACAATTATTTGTGGTAGAAATATCTAGTGTTGAGTTATAGAAATGCAATGACTATTTGCTTTTATCGTTACTGGTTTTCGTTATCTTGTTTCACTGTTCCATGGTAAGGAGTGTATTTCTATAGATAATCGTAACTCTGAGTTATAAGTTTCTATAATTAGTATACTTAATTATTTCAAACTACAGTGTAATCCGGATATAAGAGAGTTGTGGGGACCGGAGACGAAGTCTCTTATATCCGGGTTTGGTCTATTTTGTTTAGGTGAGTATGGGCTCTAATTTGGGACCAGAGAAAATCTCTCTTATATCCGGGTTTCTCTTATATCCGGGTCTCTTATATCCGGGTTACACTTTATTATTATTAATGTTACAAACACAACGTTTCGGTAAGTAGCCACTGGCTATCATCAGGTGTTTTTTGAGTTTGGTTGACATGTAATATCTGTTGATTATTGTGTTATTTTGTCATTACGATGGCAGTTATTGATGGCTTCTGCTGAACCGATGTTTTACTACCTGATCCATGGATTAAACTCACGAACACTCAATGATAATCATCATCATCGTTATTGGTCCCATGACCGGGCGGGGTCGTTGCGTAGATGGGCACCTAACCATTTCCCTAAAATATCTGGGTTGAAAGCTGGAAAATATTTCAATATTTTTATAATAATAAAATATATTTATACCATTGTTCACTCAATGCAAATCGCAAGAGCCACTCAAGGTAGAGGATTAGTGAATACGGTTAATGTAATGGCGTAAATGAGGGAATTAAGAAGTGCATATTATAGAAAACAATTGATCCTAGACTTCGTTAGGATTGCTGTGATCAGTGAAGCATCCATTCGGGAATCCGTTTCACAAACTAACAGTTCTGAATGGTACTTCCTCCTGACAAATGGAATACGAATGAATGACGAGGAGTCCATCTTGTGTAGGTGGTATGGTGGTTTTTAGCTGTGAAGGTCTGAAATGGAAAATCTAGGGAATATAACTCGTCTGCACATTTGCCATGGAAATAGAATTAGAGTCGAGAATGACTGGTAACGTTTCATCTGTGGGAAAGGGGTTGCAGGGTGGAAAATCAGCTACCAGACCCCGAAATCTTCTAACCAGCCACCAGACCCCGAAATCGCTTTTGAACTCTGTCAAGGACGGACAATGAGGTCTGCGTAGCCCCAGCCCAGATATAGCTGCAATACTCTATTTTGGGGTCTGTTCTAACTCTTTTAGAGATAGAGTGTGACAGTAAATATTATTATTACTATTATAAATATTATAATTATAATTATAATTATTATTATTATTATTATTATTATTATAATCATTATAATTATAATAATTATAATTATTATTATTATTATTATAATTATTATTATAATTATAATTATTATTATAATTATTATAATTATAATTTTTATTATTATTATTATAATTATAATTATTATTATTATCATAATTATAATTATTATTATTATAATTATTATTATAATTATTATAATTATAATTATTATTTAATAATAATTATTATTATTATAATTATAATTATTATTATTATTATTATAATTATTATTATAATTATAATTATTATTATCATAATTATAATTATTATTATAATTATTATTACATGAAAATTCTTGGTTTTACTATTTTAATATGAATCTTAATTCTTAAGTTAATGATAGATTGGCTTATGAGTACTACGACAATAAAATATTCGTAGAGATTTCCCTATTGCATCGTTAAATTTGAGCATGAACGCTTTTTATATATATATATATATATATATATATATATATATATATATATATATATATATATATATATATACAAATGAAGATTTGAAATTAACATTTTCATTTCACTGAAACAGTCGTTAAAAACTTTTGCCTTCCTTTTTTTTTGTTTCTTTCTTTCTGTTTTTCTATCATTCATTGTCTCACTTTAACCAAGTAGTGTCTTTTCTCCTCTTTCCACGCGATCAAAATGGAATAGTCCATTATTTATTAGGTATTGGCAGGGTGTAAAGGTCGTGCAAACTAACGAAAGAAGGGAATAGCACAGTTATAATAGGATTATTATTATTTATAATAATAATATATAACTTTAGATGAAAAAAAATGAAATTCAGATCAAATGAATACTAACCAAAAATTAATAATGCCAGACAATTCTTTATCCAATAAAAATTCAGTTTAATATTATCTACACTTTATGACCAGCCAACATACATTCACCAACTCCACCCAATATAACCTTCAGATAACGTTCTTTATCTTCGCTTACTTCACAGGCAAAATCGTTTGGAACTGGGTTAAAATTTCAGACTGTAAAAGTCCTTGGAGTTGGATTATTTGTGGAACAAGACAGGCCGGTTGTGTTGTTGGGCGAAAGACCTAGAGATTTGGTATATAGTATAAAGCATTCCCACACGTACCAACAGACGAAATTTTGGCGCGTAAACACGTGCCAGTGCTTTGGGGAGAATGAGAGAGGACGCGGCGGATTTTCTGATTAGGCCGCAGCAACTTTGCGCTTCAAATGTGTTTACACATCTCGATCAAAGATCTGTAATCAGTTGGCGCTACCACACCATGTCCCATCTCTCTCTTCGTTCCTCAGCACCATTCCATAACTATACTCCCATCCCACTGACTTTATGAGATTGTCGACTTCCCCTCTTCATCTATTTTCGTCTTTTTTTCCCCTCTTTACATTTGTTTTATCTCATATTCACCCGCTTTACTCTGCTTCTGTCCACTTTTCTTCTCGCTCTTTGGACTTCATTTTATCGCCTTTCGCATCATCTTTTAAATTCTTTTTTCTTCTTAACTGACATCACCATCTTTTATAATATTTTTTTCTCTTTCCAGTAGATTCTTTCTTTCTTTCTTTCTTTCTTTCTTTCTTTCTTTTAACTTATTTGTATTTTCTCAATTCTTTCCTTCCTTCTTTCTTTCCTTGTTCTATTTTAACATTTTTTCTTCTTTTTTTATTTTATCCTCTTTTTGTATTTTCTCAATGCTTTCTTTCTTTTATGTTCACAATTTTTCTTCTTTCTTTCTTTCTTTCTTTCTTTCTTTCTTTCTTTCTTTCTTTCTGTTATCCTCTTTTCTGTAATTTTTTCAATTTTTCTTCATTATTTCTCTCTCTTTTTATATTTTCTCGATTCTTTTTCTTTTATTTCCCAAATTGTCTTTCTTTTACCTACGTTTTTGTATATTCTTTCTTTCTTTCTCTTTAATCTTATCCTTTTTTTGAATTTTCGCAATTCTTTCTTTGTTCACTTTTTTGTATTTTCTCACTTCTTTCTTTCTTTCATTTTTCAAGTTTTTTTTGTATTTTCTCAATTCTTTCTTTCTTTCTTTCTTTTTTCATTTTTTTTGTATTTTCTCAATTCTTTCTTTCTTTTTTCAATTTTTTTTGTATTTTCTCAATTCTTTATTTTTCAATTTTTTTTGTATTTTCTTCTTTCTTTCTTTCTTTCTTTTT